TTTTGTTATATTAGGCAGTTATGTGCGGCATTCAATTCCTGCATGATCTTGTCATTGGCACCCTCAAGAAAAAATGCTGCCCTTTATTTGTGCAATCAGGCTCATATGTATGTATGTATGTATGTATGTATGTATGTATGTATGTATGTATGTATGTATGTATGTATGTATGTATGTATGTATGTATGTATGTATGTATGTATGTATGTATGTATGTATGTATGTATGTATGTATGTATGTATGTATGTATGTAATTTGCATTCATTATCCGCATTATCCCCAAACTCGCTGGCCTTTGCTGCACATCAAAGAGTCAGTTAATTTTTTTCTAAGTCGTGAATGATATATAGCTGAAGTTATAGAAATAAAAAGCAGTATTAGGCAAATTTATCCTATTCTTTTGTAGAGTGTAAGTGAATAAGAACTATATGGATTCTTTCACATATAATTTATTTTTAAAACTGTGTAGGAGTCTATTGATTGTTTACATTTTGCAGGGCCATAACTGCAGCTATATATTGCACTTTTTGCACCGAGTTACCTGCAGTCAACTATGCCTACGCATATGTTTAATAAGTAATATAAACGTTCTCAAGAATGGATATTATATCTTCATCTTCCAGTTAAGTGTGTGGCACATATGCAGGCATAGTCGCACTGATGTGAACTGCAACATACTTACTGAACGAGAAATTGCAATATGAACTGATATTAGAGATTTTCTACACATATAATGAAGAAAGACTCTTTGAACAAGTTAAAAACAGGTTAAAGTAACACACTGTGTACATGACGAGACAAGGGGCCAGACCGACGAAGTAGACCTATGAGATTTCAATGCAAGGCGCTGAAATGGCTATCACTGACAAGGGGAAGTTTTCGTCCTTTCCGTTATCAGAGTGCTTGCGTTGGGCATTTCGTTGGCTGTGTTTAACGTGTCCATGTACATATGTGTTAATGCCGTCCATGAAGTATCGCTTATTATCATAGTTACATAGTCCAAACTTAACAACAACGTCAGTTTCGATCTTATGATATTTTGATCCAATAAACATCATCTCAGCATGTTTCCTATCATCATATATTGCAGCCTCATACATTACATCCTATTTGATAACTGTCTGTTTTGTTCTGGCTGCTGTCGTGTTTATTTCATTTTATCCTTTCCCACACAGCACATATCGAGATTGGATCAATGTTCGCTTCAACTTTGTGCTTACCGAAGACTGTTTCATTATTATCACATTAAATTTTCTATCAATTTAATACTCTGTGAGATCAAAGAACTCGAGGTGCTTATATACGTTCTTGCTAATTTTTCGGTGTAAATTAGATAACATAAGATATGTGTGACTGTCAATCGCATCCCTGTGCTCATCCACTGTTTCTTAAAGAAATCGTAATGAAACCAGTACATGAGCGTTTGTGAAATGCCATCACTGAAATTCAAACGTGGAGGGGTTTATCCAATAACAAGATTGTTGTCCTCATACGACATTCTACCAGTTTCTCATTGAAGATCTTCCTGCTGACAAAGCTATCGTTAGCATCAAACTTGCTGTGTCGTTTAAAGTAATTGATGATCGCAAGGTTGATATGATTTCGACTATTTTCCATGGTCTTACTGTTTACTAATTACTGTTGTTCACATGTTTAAATAATTCTTTGCCATAATCACTGGCAGATGCATTTCTACGTCGAATGTTAGAGTCAATATAGCTTCACATTCAGAAAGGATATTTGAAATTGTACACGCGATTAACTTTGCTCAGCATTAGACCGTGGTCAAGCGTCTGCTGTATAATGAATAACGTATCGCTAAGTGTTCAGTAAATTGGGTCCAGAATTCTTAATCGTGTTTGCTCTGATGTTAAATTTCTTTAGCAAAGCTAACTGATCCTGTAAAAGCATATCGTAGCTGATCATTGGTTAGAGAGATCACGAAACTCGGCAGGATAGACAATATCCGCTTCGACAAGGTAACCGACACTATTCGGAATTCTTCCTTTCTGTCTCTTTGAGAAAATGTTTTAATCGCATCCTATGGATATCCATATAGGTCTGTTTGATATTCTTCACTGAATATAGGCTAATGTAATCAGCAAATACATTCAATATCTTTTTACAAACATTCAGTGTTTAATTAGACATGTCATATATTGTTTCATCAAAAAATATAACGAGGAACAACAGGTGATGAATTCAATTAATATAGTTGTAGGAAGGAAATGCGTTATTGTCACAACAACATATAAAATGCACCAACTGGAAAGAAAACAATATGAAATCATATATATATATATATATATATATATATATATATATATATATATATATATATATATATATATATATATATATATATATATATATATATAGTGGGGGTCATAAAATAGCGCGAAACTGAAACATCAGTGTAAATGCACACCAACAGACTCGGAAAACACTTTGAAACGGGGACAATTCCGTTTTGTAATGTCGGCAAAAATAGACCTTACTTAGTGATACAATCCTTGAAAAAAAAGCATATCTCGACATGTCCCCTTTTGATCGGTCTTTTTCAGATCATGTTCTACACTAGAATAGACACATCCAACTCAACTCAATACCCCTTATATATCAGTCGGAAAACTTCGTCCCAGTTGGAAATAAAGTTCACAGTCTCTTTTGATGTCGTCTCGCACATTTGCCTTCCGAATTACTCAAAGAAGATGGCATCCAGAAGTCGACTAGGAGTCTAATCTTGTACGTAATATATTCTTTTCTTACCCAGAGTTCAACATCAAAAAATGTGATTATTAATGGGTAATCCAATTTTCGTAATACATTTCGACAAATTAAATCATGATCATAATAAAAAACGAATAAAACCTTTATTCATATATCATGCACGGTTTTTACGATGAGCAGAGATTCTCGATTCTAGCCATTTATCTGTGCTTGTATATTGTATCTCCAATTTAAGTAAGTGACATTTACATATCGACAAGAAATACACTGGAAAATATCAACATAGATTTTACTTCATTCAATTCTGGTTAGAAGCATAAATACGAACAGCCTACGTGGTAACCAAAAATAATATATATTTTATCAAGTTAAGCTTCAGTCAATAGGAAATGAAAACAAGTTTTGTAAGAATTTGTATATGGGATCAGACATTGATAGCTTATATTGTTATTCGGACATTTATCTTGCTCTGCACTTGCAGCATATCTCCATTTATTGTCTATGCTTTGCTTATAAACAAACCTAAACGTACATACATACATACATACATACATACATACATACATGCATGCATGCATGCATGCATGCATCCATGCATGCATGCATGCATGCATCCATGCATCCATGCATACATACATACATACATACATACATACATACATACATACATACATACATACATACATACATACATACATACATACATACATACATACATACATACATACATACATACATACATACATACATACATACATACATACATACATACATACATACATACATACATACATACATACATACATACATACATACATATACATTTAGAGTCGAAAGCGCTTAGGCTAGTTAGTTACTAGTTTCGTACTGTTCGTCGTCAGTTTATTACATATATATATATATATATATATATATATATATATATATATATATATATATATATATATATATATATATATATATATATATATATATATATATATATATATATATATATTAAGTGATTCAGATGTACTGGACAGAAAGAGATTCAGGTCCATGTTGCGATTCTGATATATCGGTAGTATTTATATAAAAGTGAACATTTGATGGTGCAATTGGTAGGAAAATCCAACGAAACCTTTTGGGTGAATATTCCAGAGACCGTATTAGGAAAGTTCGTGTGGGAGATTTCATATCCCCCTCCGTCAGACTGACTAGGGTATGAGTCAATTGCATGACAAAAATAGGTTAACATGATTGGTTATGTTAGCGATAGGCAGGTATATAGCAGAAAAGGTTGGGAATCTCAAAGTTTTTATAGATTTGTGCTTTACTAAATCAAAACAACAATGAATATATATATATATATATATATATATATATATATATATATATATATATATATATATATATATATATATATATATATATATATATATATATATATATATATATATATATTTAAAAAGATATGAAATTATTAGAGTTTTTCCTAAGAGTTAATTTAGAGTTAATAACGGCTTGTAAATATCATATATTCATAGAATCTCTGTATTTGAAATGTTTTAAAATATTCTTGGAATAATCAAATATCCATTTGCCAGACGTTCCCGAAACTTACTTGAGATGCAGTAATAGACCAAAATATATTTCAATATTAATTACATTATATATCCATTCAAGGTCACTCAAAATTGTCAATGTTACACTAAAAACGTCGAAAATTAGAAGTTTGTAACTTTTAAAATACGAAAAAATAATGTTGACACAAAATTTGCAGAAAATGAAGTTTATATCGAAAAATAAAAGATGTAATAAAGAATAGTTATAACATACTGAAACTATCACTGACAAATTATATATTATAATTTCACAATAATAATAAGAAGAAAAATAGATCTGTGACTTTTAAGAACAGGATAATCAAAATAGTGAAACATTTGCTGCAACATATCCAAGAACTTATGTATTTATAAATTACAAATATGAAAGGAATAGAGTGGAACAAGTTAGAATTTAAAACAAATATAATCATGACATGAATATATCAGAGAATGACATTTAAAAGGATATAAGTAAAACTTTGCTTCCATGAAAATATAATGATGGCATGAATATAGTAGAGAATGGCATTTGTAAGGCTATAATGATCTGATCCAGACTTCAAAATTATCCCAAAGTCAAATTTTAAATTATATATGTACTACTTTGACCCGTGGAAATCGTAGAGTGTGCTGTTTTTTATATTACTACCCAAAGACAAAATTACATTATCGTAATGTTGACCGATCCGGTGGCATAGTGGTAGAGCGTCCGCATCGGATGCGAGAGGTTGCGGGTTCGAACCACGGCCGAATCATACATACGACATTCATAAATGGTACTAACAGCTGCCTCGCTTGGCGCTCAGCATTAAGAGGTTAGTGTTAGGACTGTTTGTTCTGGTATCAGTATAATGTGTCTGGGTGGGACATGTCTGCGGCATGATGCCCCAGTGCTAGACATCACTACAAACTGTCATACTGCAGACATCGTTGTGATATGACTGAAAAGCTACGTTAAAACTCGAAATCACAAAATCACGTTACCGTAATGTTAAATTTAAATTCAAGAAACATTTGTAGCCAAGTAAGAAGTAACATATGTTGTTAGATGGTGTATGCTATTTTTTTTCTCTTATTATTTCTTAAAACTGGAATCACTTTCCATGCAGAACTGCCTAGTAAATTGAGCTATGCCGAGGCAAATCTTCCTTGTTAGTTTTTCCACATTCTTAAAAAGTAGAACGTTTATTTTGACATTATTAAGTATGTATTTATTGACTCAATCTGGGCTTTCAGACTATCTTAACAACCTACTCCATAATAAAACATTAGTATCACTATACCATTGTACCCGTTATTATTTTGATACCAGTAAGGTATTATGCTGTTAATTTCAGCAAATCTAAATTCTAATAAATTGACTAAAAATTCGCCATAAGAATGATTACACTATATTTAGACAATATACGATTATATATATATATATATATATATATATATATATATATATATATATATATATATATATATATATATATATATATATATATATATATATATATATATATATATATATATTGCCCTTTCTTCAAAATAGAAAATATCGGTGCATGGAGAGGCTGATCCATTACTTGTCGTTGATCAAAAATATATTTTATGGCATATAAAAGGTTGGAGTTCGTTGCAGGACATGTCTATCACCTGTTTATTTAAGTAACCGAAAAATGCACAGTTCTGCTGATTTGAGTTGCTTGGCTCTCCTGGATACCAAGAGGGAAAAACTGCTTTTCCATCCCAGCTCACCCAGTTTCCCTCGTTAGCTGCATCCGATATACCAATATATGCCCATACAGTAACTGCATAAAAAAATAAATATTTATATGAATACATTATACTAACATTTACATCTTATGCATATTCATTTTATGTTGCATGTATTGCTTACCTGATTTTTGTCATCGTTCTACGAAGCAAAGAAGACGAATCCTTGAAGTTAAGTTAAAGATTTGACCTTGTGTTTTTTTCCATTCAAAAGAAATATAAAGCGTCACAGGTCAGGTGAGAATTTGCATTTAAATAGATAGTTTGTACAAAAATCTTCCTTCGTGTCTTTAGGAATCTGTGATCAAAGTTTATAGTTATGATCACATAAAATGTTCATTAACAAATGTTATATTTGTCAGAATTATCCGTTGATGAGGTTTCCGTTATTATATTGTTGATGTTCAAGTCTCTATGAATCTGTGATCAAAATTTATAGTTATGATTACATATAATGTTCATTAACAAATATCATATTTGTCAGAATTATCCGTTGATGAGGTTTCCGTTATTATATTGCTGATGTTCAAGTCTCTATGAATCTGTGATCAGAGTTTATAGTTATGATTACATATAATGTTCTTTAACAAATATCATATTTGTCAGAATTTTCCGTTGATGAGGTTTCCGTTATTATATTGTTGATGTTCAAGTCTCTATGAATCTGTGATCAGAGTTTATAGTTATGATTACATATAATGTTCATTAACAAATATCATATTTGTCAGAATTATCCGTTAATGAGGTTTCCGTTATTATATTGTGGATGTTCATATATTTTCTGGGTTTTTTTTCTTATTTGTACATCTACGCGTTCTTCTTTCCATCCTTTCGCTGGATTTTCTCTTTCAATAGTTCATAAGTATTAGCTTAAGATATTTCTACTGATTTGCATACTAATCTGTCTCTTTATTAATGTGTATTTAATTTGTGCTCTTTGTTGTTTCTTAATGATTACATCTTATGTACATCTCTATTTTGCACTTGATATTGTCCAAAATCAAATTAATTGTGTACCTCACCAGTAACATTTTGTAAACAATCTAATACATAGCTAAATATTTATCTATGATTGTTTACTGAATATTCCAGTCATTACTAGCTGAACATACAGTCTTTATGCCTACCGCAGAAACATCAAAGATTATTTCCAGAAGATGGTAATAATTCAGGTTAGTCGAGGGGTATATAATCTTTTTTTTGTTGGGATTATTCATTCTTGCCTTATCATCCGAAGCAGAATCAGTGTTATTGTTTTCTACTCCTTTTCATTTGGGTGGACTTCCTTTTGCAAATTATTATTCACTCGAATTATACATTGAAAATGAAAGACTATCTTTAGCACATAGCCACATTCCATGCAGTTGATTTGTTAGCACGATAGATACTACAAGTAAATAACCATATTCATGATCATTATTTATTTGCAAAACCAATGGGATTCAAAATTGGTATATGTTAGATGATGACCTGACATAGAACCTTATAAATCATATTAATATAATTCTGTTTTTATTTTCACTTCCTATGGGAAAACATTATTTGATTAAAATTACAAAGGTTGTTGGAGTTCGCTCCTTTACTTTCTGAATTTAAGACAGACTATAGAGTCGTAACAAGCTGTATGATTGTCTATACATATATGACTTCCAGACATTTTCCCAAAGTTCTTTTCTATTTGTCCCCAAAGTTTCAAGTCTCCCCATACTTTATATAGTCTTGCCTAGGGAATGTGAGAAATGTCGCTATATTTCCGTACAATTATTGCACGTGCATTCATAAATGGGTGAAATATTTATAAAGTATTATCTTACTTTTTGTCAATAACCCTTTCAGTTCAAAATTAATGCGTAACGGTGTGATGGAACATTTAATGTATAGACTACAATAAAGACAACATCGTGGTAACAACGCTGATGGCATATTTTGGCAATAAAATAAAGCAGTAGAAAAATGAAGTTTTCCAAACGGACCAATGGTGGACAGTAATAATTATTAAGTCGAGAAGAACAACAGTGTTTGAAATCGCCTGATGTTTGGTATTATACTCGCTATTCGATGTCACCTGTTATATTTGCAAGCGTTGTAGAGTTTGTTTAATCTTCAATATGCGTTGATAAAGCTGAAAGAGCAGTCTTATTAGTAAGTGTCACAGCACTTGAAAGTGACTTTAAGCAAATGCGTCAACTTGATTGGATCATGCAGTGTCAAAGTTAAACTTCGTTTGTTGACGCTTGTTATGTTTACAAGCTCTTACATTGTGTACATTACTATACGGTGTACATTACAAAGTTCACTTTAGTCAAGGTAATAGAAAGTCATGACGCTTTTCAGGCCGTAGCCTTGACCTTGAAAGTATTGGTTAAAATGATTTGAAAATACAAGACGTTTTGCTGGTTCGGTATTGTAAGCTGCATTGTTACTTACCATTATCGGCCGTTTTGTTCACTAACTCAGCAATCTGAGCCTGGGTCGTAATTACAAGTAGCTTGGCCCTTTCAGATTCGCATGTTTTCATTGCTTCACCGAACTTTCCTCCAGTTCTATAGACTTTGATGCAGAAGTAAGAGCCTGCCAAGGTGACGTTAATGTATTCCATATCACACGAGGTCGATTGTGCTATGAAATAAACAATAAGTACTTTGGTCTATGCCGGAACCCAGGTAAAGCCGATACGAGGTCGTAAATCATTGTTGAGAATAGATGAAATAGTTCTTTGTTCATAGCAATTTCACTTTAATTTATTATAATTATGAAAATAACTCTTAAAAAATACTTCGTACTGTACTTTTAATTGTTGCGATTTGACGCATTTAAAAATGTAATATCGTTTGTTTCTATTTTTAGCTTTATTTGACTTTGCGGTTAAAATGTTAATACAGAGGATGGCAATAAGAGCCGAGTATAAGTCATTTGTACAACAAACACCAACCTACCTCGACCTTGCTTTTAATACATACTTACATTGGCATAACAAATTTGATAAGATTAACTGTAGGAATAGATTTATTATTATTATTAGTAGTATTAGTATTATTATTATTATTATTATTATTATTATTATATATATATATATATATATATATATATATATATATATATATATATATGTATGTATATATATATATATATATATATATATATATATATATATATATAGAATACAAATCATATGGCGAATAACAACCCTTTCAAGCGTACTGGATCCACCAAGGGATCACGTGTGTCAGGGATTAATTAAAATAGATGCAATAAACTGACGATGAACAGTACGAAACTAGTAACTAACTAGCCTAAGCGCTTTCGACTCTTAATGAGTCTTTTTCAAAGGCAAATACAAAATATATATACGAGAAACAAATAAACACAAAAACTTTGTGTTTGTAAACCTCTACATGGCTGTTTTCACATGTGCTAAAACTATAAATACAACCAGCTTGTATAGACTAGTTGCGGAAACTGAAAACGTTGTATAATTCCCTAAAAGTCTACAAGCCAAAGCGACATCTATTTTTACTTTTTGTACATATGTAACGCAGATTATATCCCGGATATTTGATTCTATACCGGTTATTCTTATAGTTGAAATTGAAGGATAATAAGAAGATTTAGAAAATGTTAAATTCTACTAGTGCATAGTTTTCATTTTCTAGTCTTCTTGGTTTAGACTGCTTGGTTTCAAAGTTCTAAGGCGGCGTATCCAGTATGATTCCTTTTCCTTCCTGGTTTCGGAACTCCAGCTGTGGTTGTTAGCAATAGCGATAGGTATTATATCACTGAAAGTGTGGCCAGGGGAGGAGAAGTGTTCTGCGACCGGGCTTCTGTACAGCTTTTTTGTCATCCAATCAGATCTATGAAGGTTTATCCTTTTGTGTAGCTTTTCAGTTTCTCCGACGTACTGAAGGCCACAGATCTTACATGTGATGAGATAAATCACATTCTCTGTTTTTCACGTTTTGATTGGACCATGTATGTTTAGGTTTCCTTTAATCAC